ATGCAGGAGAGGTTGTATCAGATTTCTTTACTAGCTCCTGCTTTAATGCAGAGCGTCGCCACTCTCAAGTCAACAATAAGACCTATATCCAATCTTCATTGCCTTCTTATCTAAAATCTTGAGAAGAGTAGATGTTCCAAACAAGGTTGCGATCACTTCCAACCATACATGACCAAGTTTTTGCAAAGTTTCAGATCTGGCTTTAAGAGCCGCAGGACTCTAAGCACTGAAACGCGTCTCTGGTGAGTTTGTTCATGTTAATGACAGATCTTCCTCATGCTCAAAGGTTACCTGTGGAGTACCACAGGGATCAGTGCTAGGACCAATTCTCTTTACTTTATATCTATGCTCCCAATCAGTAGAATTATTAGACAGCAATGGATTAATTTCCACTGTTATGCTGATGATACCCAGCTATATCTGTCTATAATCCAGATTAAGCTAACCCATTACATAGATTACAGGCATGTCTGAAGACATAAAAACCTGGATGACTCTTAACTTTCTGCTTCTGAATGCAGACAAAACAGAAGTTATAGTCTTTGCACCAGAGTCTCTGAAAAAGAAGCTGATTAGTCAGCCACTTCATTTGGATGGGATTAAACTGATAGTAATAAAGATAAATAATAAGTAAATAATAAATAAAGACAGATAATAAAGTAAAAAATCTTGGTGTTGTTTTTGATCAGGACCTGTCATTTAAATCCCAGATCAAAGAGGTTTCTAGAATTTCCTTCTTTCATCTGAGGAATATTGCAAAAATGAGCAATCTCCTGTCCAGGGGTGATGCTGAGAAACTAGTCCATGCATTTGTTACTTCAAGGCTGGACTATTGTAATTCTTTACTATCAGGAAGTCCACAAACTGTAGTTAAAAGCCTTCAGCTGATCCAAAATGCTGCAGCCAGAGTTCTGATGAAAATTAAAAAGAGAGATCATATCTCTCCTATCCTGGCTTCTCTTCATTGGCTTCCTGTTAAATCAAGAATAGAATACTTTGTACTTCTTTAAATAACCTGGTTAAAGGGAATACCTCCTTAAATAACCTGGTTGGAACTGGATCTAACATCCAAGTTGAAGGCTTAGATGAAGACAATAGTTTTGCTAACTCTGAAAGTTCAACTGGATCAAAGCAGTCTAAACCCTGTTCAGATTCCATGACTACCTCAGATGCTGCCCCCCCCTCCAGAGACAAACCAATCGCGGATAGAGGAGTGCTAATGATCTTATTTTTGATAGAATCAATCTTATTTATAAAGAATCCCATAAAATCATTGCTGCTAAGAGCAGGTGGAATGGACGGTTCAACAGAGCTATGGCTCTGGGTGAGTTTGGCAACTGTATTAAAATGAAATCTAGGATTATTCTTATTCTCCTCTATTAATGAGGAGAAATATGCTGCTTTTGCTTTACAAAGGGTCCTCTTATACAGCAGAAAACTATTTTTCCAAACTAGGTAGGATTCCCTTAGAGCTTCAAAGTAATTATTAGATTATTTTGAAAAAATATGTCATTTTTAGCATAATTATTTCTACTTGTTTAATTTTTAATAAAAAGTAGTAATGCCTAAGGTTACAAGCAGGATTGTTGCCTGCTAAGGCTTGATCTGTGCGGTAAATACATTAAAGTATCAGGCTATGAACTCTCCAGCAGATTCAGATGTTAGCTGAAAAATCTTCAGATCACATCAGGCTGTTCTCGGTCGGACCAGTCAATCAGTTTCACAGCTCTGCAAAACGCAGATCCTTTCTTCCTCTTCACTCTAAAGCAGTAGAGCAGATTGTCCTCGGCCCATCATCGTTAGCTCACCCTGTAGCTTCCTCACAGCTGATTACTGATTATTCTCCATTTATCATTTTAGCCAAATGAGCTTCAGCTCATTGAACTCATCTGCAAACAGTAAGCCTCTGATTCCTGGTATTGACTAAACAGGAAGAATAAATGTAAGTTCTGCTTTTACTCAGGCAGCAACAGTCAGTTTATCGGACAGCTCTGTAAATTAGGACCAGATAACAACTGTTTAAGACAGCATAAAGCACAGAGATTTAATCGGCACAAAAGAGAAGAAGACTTTGCAGCCGCGGCCCACGCTGTCGCTCTGACAGGTGATCTCTGGGGCAAATCTAATGCAGTGACAGCCGAGTGATGAGGGCTTGGAGCTGTAACTCACACCCTCCAAAAGTCATTTTAAAGCACCAATCAAAGGGAGGAGGAAGAGGAGGTGAAAGTGTGAATGTAAAAGAAGAGAAACTGAGGCCAGGAGTCAGTGGGGCAGGCGGGGGAGCCAGTAGCTGCCATTTCCATCTGCTGTCCATGGGAAAGTGAGTTATAGGGGGTTTATGGGGGGGGTTCAGGAATAATGAACGAGTGATATGGAGTTTTTTCCTCGCATTTGCTTGACCTCTGCAAGGCAGTGTGCAACATGAAGTGATGGGGGGAGCAGGAAGGACTTCAAGATCTGGAGACATGAACTCCATTCCAGCTTCAGTTTTATCCGAAACTTTACCACCAACCCAGAACAAAAAAGGCTTTTGTTCTGTCTCTAAGAATGTGTTAATTTGTTATAAAGAGACGACATGTTGGCTTTGTAAGCTGTGTGTTTTCAATTTGTGAAATGAAAAAGAGAAATCGCTGAGGAGTAAGGTATGAAGAGCTGTCAATAGACGGCTGGGATCCTGGACCTGTTGAAACAGACTGGAACTCAAACACAGAGGTTTTCCATCAGCAGACTCCGGATCTGCAACTAGAGAGTAACGTTGACCTTCATCTACAAGGCCAGGGATTCAGAAAGGCTCAACACCAGGAGGATTACAGCTGAAGACCATGTCCTGGTTTATCTATGGCTGTGATTAAAAAGAAAAGGAGGCCAGGCCTTTGGAATCTCCTCTGAACTTCTAAAGTATTCCTGTTGCTCATGCAGGAAGCCAGTGGTGGACAGCCTTCAATTAGGAGCCTCCTGGAGATCAGACCACAGCAAGGAGACTTCATCACATAAACAAGGATTTATAGAACATGAGAAAACCTTAGAATTCTCTGCAGCAGTTATTCAACGGTTCCTAATGGCATTGCTTTAAGAAGTCAGGGTCCATTGTTACAGTTTTGTTTGGCTCCCATGTTGGTTCAGCAGGTGTTGGAACATCTGGACCGGGCTGAGACCAGACAACACCAGATCCTGTGCAGCACTTAAGTCCACATGAATCCTACCTGCTCCAACCTGTGGCAGTCTAGATGCTGGATAGGCTCAGGTCGGAGCTTATTGTTCATTCACGCAATATTTAGCTCCAAATAGTCCAGTTAAACTCTTAAAGGTATAGAGGATCATCTTTTATTTTCCAGTGGATCATAAACATTAAGAATACTTATTGATAGATTTTATCCTCCAATGCCACAGCCTGTGATGCAGAACATGTTTGAGCCTCTTTGTGATAAGAAATCATGGTGATTATCTATTGAATTCTTAGTTAACAACCTAATTTGGTATGTTTAGGTCAGTGATTGGTTCCTATAAGTGAAATGTATTAATGTCTATTGGGAGCAGCATTAGGACTCCATAACTTCAAATATTCTGACAACTTTTGCAGGAATTGATCTGAAATAATGGTAATTAATCCTTGATCTGTAATGGTGAAGTGGTAGCTTTGCTAATATGTACTTTAGACTTAGACAAACTTGTATTGCTGTTTTGTGCACACAGTGCAAACAAAACAACATTTTGTTCTGTTCAGCTTTCAGATGGGTGAGCAGCAGCTTAGCAGAGAAACAAACATTTCCACAAAGTGCAGCAGTGATCAAATGTAAACAGTGTTGGAGAAAAAACTGTCCTTAAACCTGGAAAAAACAAAGTTCATGGTTTTTGGAAATTATGAAAAAATGAAGATATAAAAATGAAAGTAGATGAGGTGAAGATGGAAGAGGAATATGAAATGAAGTTCGGGGGTAAATAGAAGATCTCTGCGTTCCTCTGGTTCTCCAGGGATCGTCTCTCCTGCCGCCGCTTCTGCTGCAGACCTCATGAGGTCATGATTGGTCGGCCTTCGCTGAAGACCTTTCATGTGAAACTTTTTTCTAAAGGTTTTCTTGGTCTTGTCTGCATTTATTTTAGTCTGTTTCATCAAAAGATGTTTTTAGTTATTTCTAAAAAAGTGAAAACGAAGCTTTCAGCATGAATGGCTGCTGTGAGGAGAAGCAGATATTCCTCCATATGAGTCCCAGTGAAACAATGAACCTGCATGCGTTTCCCCTGTGGAAACTCTCATTTAGAAACAAACCCTCTGATTCCTCACAGATGGAGAAAAACACGATTGTATGTTTCCATAGTTACTGAAATGTTCTTTAGCATTGTGGTGCAGCGTGAACTCATCAGCTGCCCTCAGTAACGGCCAGAGGGAGGTCAATGAGCCTGGATGGGTCTTTAGTTTAGAAAGAAATCGCTGCTGCTTTTATTGGCAGGTTGTGAGTTGAATTACATTAATTTTACTTTTTTTTCTCGGTTTTCTTCTCCAGCTTACATTCTGCTGCTGGACTTTGTTTTGGGCAGACACTGTAAGGGACGAGCAGCCCACAGCAGAACTGGTGAAAAATACGACTTCAAAAGAGGAAAGGGTTTATTATTCTGATTTATGATGAAGGCTGATCATCCTGTTCTCAGAGTCACATTCAGGCTAAAGATGGTGTCTTTGCTCCATGAGGTGATTGAAAAGGACATGTGACCAAACAGGTCAGTGTGGTTTCCTGGTTGTAGTGGGTTGTAGGCACATTGCTCAGATGTCTGTTGATGTTCTCTGGCCACGTTGTGTCTCCGTCTCTCAGAAGAGGAGTGGGCCACACGAAAGTCAAGGAGATCAGTGAAGAAACTGTCAAATTGCAGCGCTCCATAATTCACAGTTTCACTGTGTGGTCAGACTTAAACAAACGGCGTGATTAGACCCAGCAGGATGTCACTGAAGCCTGAAAGCTGAAACTTTTCATTTACAGGCTGCTTTGTCTCTGTTCTCTCTGCAGCTGGCGACATGGGACTCAGTTCACGGACTAAACGGGAGTCTGAAGGAGAGTCGGATAGAGAGCGGGATGCAGGGGCTGACGGTCAAAGTGGTCACACTGCTGGTGAGTGAAGCACGTGTTGTGCAAAATAATATCCTGCAGATAATGAATCAATGATTAACTAGAACTGGAGTTATAGTTAATTATTTAACCTATTCAAAAACGGAGGTTAAATCAATTTAGCGTTCTTAGTTGAATGATTGTAGCTTTAAATTACCTGCATACCAGGGATTGCTGTTTCACCTCTGGAGGGTTCCTGGACCGGCTGTTAAAATCCAGGTCTCCACCAATCTAGTGGCCCAGGCTAAGTGGTCAGCAGAGCTATTAATTATCAATAAAGAACCTTTTATCTGTGTTTATTCTCACTATTACCAAAGGGGGGTGGATCTGACCTGAGTGATATATCGTCCGCTATATGAAACACAGAACTACTACAAGTTAAACAATGACGTCTTTATTCTAATAATTCAGGATTACAGAAAATCTAACATCTATGCAAACACTACACACTATTAGAAAAATAAACATGAGGTAGATTAAATGACTAGTTTAAAGAAACACAAAGAATTTAAAAAAAAGAATAAACCCCTAGGAGTGAGTTTAACAGGCTTCTGAGATTGTCCAGGATAGGCCAGATGTTAATACATTCACTAATGTCCGTTAGAATAGCAGCAGGTATGATGAGAACAGTGCAATTAATCAACATAAAATTAATACATTCAGCTTAAAAATGGTAAATGATTAACATGCATTAACAAACAGCAGCAGAAGTCGTTTTAGGAAAACAGCATCAACAGAGCAGTATGCATGTGTGTGGGAAAGGCATGCAACCGAATGAGGGACCCCCCTTTCATGTGATAAGAGGAAGAAAAAAAAAGGGGGGGGGGGGGGGGGGTGATCGGTGGTAAAATGGCCCCAACCACGTGGCCCCACGCCGTTGAATGTAATAATTCTGTAACTATCTTAAAGCAGAAACAAAAGAAGATAGGAAAGGAGAGAAGAAAAGAAAGAAATATCCCTTGCAGCTTTCACAGCACACTTACTTCAACCAAATAAACCAGAACTTTTGTAACCAACATAGATAAAAAGAACAATCAGCATTAATTCAAATCCCTGAATCTACCTGTCTCTCTCATTAATGCATCAAAAGGAAAGGAAATTGATTTACTGTGAGTTGCCTTCGGTCCGTGAAGGAGCGGGGGTTCCGAGGGAACACGTGGCCTGGCTCCGGCCGCGCAGAGGTTCTTCAACACCAGATCCGCTCTCAGGAAAGTTCAGTCAGTTCGGTGCTACAGCACAGGGCTTGATGTTCTCTTAGTTGGAGGAAGATTGATTTTGTGGAAGTAATCGGCGGGAAGCGTCCCCCCCGCCGATCCTTACAAAAATGGGGAAAACACCCTCCACTCAGCAGTCAGCTTCAAAGGATTCTGTCTCCCCAGTTGGCGCAGCCGCTATGCACGATGGAACACTGCGAACCGTGACTTTTGACGCAGGAGAAACGAAAGCTACTTCCAATTAGCTTTCTTCTGGTATTTCACGTGAAATAGGTCTCCCCTTTTGGGCAGTGGCACCAATGGAAAAGAGAAAGATAAAGTTTGCGCGCTGGGTTTAAACCATGAGTGACATGGGGGCACTTCCTGTTGAAGCATCAGCTTTATTCATCAGCTGATTGGTCCGTGTCTGAGGTCACCGCCTCCCACCGTGGGCCGCTACAGTATTTTTCCAGGAATCCTTTGTTCTTCTTTGTGGAAAAGAAAAGGGGGATAATTTCAGGTGGTTCATCCAACTGATTTTAGCTCCATTTTGGCAATATATCCCAACACACGGAAGAAGACAAATATATTTAAAAAAAAACTTCTCTCTACCCCTCCCCTCATCCTCCTGGGTGGGTCGTTGGTGCACTGTTCCTCTGGTTCCTCTCAGTATCTCAGCTGTCTCTAGAACTGCTCATTTCTGGACTGAGGTCTCTGATGTTTCTCCAGGTCTCTGTTGGAGCATCTCGTCCTTCAGTGTGGGGGTTTCTGCCCCCACTGCTCCAATGATCACGGCCTCCATAGCTGCCTTCACCTTCCAGGCTCTCTCTAGTTCTTCCCAGAGGCCTCGGTGCTTCTCCTGTTTCTCCTGCTCTCCTTTCCTGATGTTTCCATCATTGGGATGGCCTCATCCATCACTACGGCCGTCCTCTGCTGCTAATCAATGATCATGATGTCCGTTTGCATAGTTACAACCATTCAGTCTGTTTCTATCTGGAAGTCCCACGGGATCTCAGCTCTGTCATTCTTCATAACCTGGGGAGGGGGCTCCAATTCTCCCAGTTTAGATTCTGTTCCCATTACCAGTCAGTAAGACGTTCCATTAATCCTGTCCTGGCAGTATGTTCCTCCCGCTGTGAAGTGCTGGATTGTGTCTTTCCATAGCCTGAACCTTGGATATTTCCTGCTTTGGTTGATCTGGGCCTCTGTTGTTCTGGTGCACAAGGCCTGATCCTCTGCTTCCATGATCAGTGCTTCTGTGATGTCCTTCTTGAACTTTTCTAGCCATTGGTAAATTTTGTTATATCAGCCACTTCAGCTATCTGTCTGTGGTGCAGCCAAAGCAGCGTCTTTTTCTCCCATGATTTCTGCAGTTCCTTAATTTCCAGCTTCCACTATCTGAGACATTCACTAAGCAGCTTCTTCCTGGTGTGTTCTTGAAGCTTGGATGTTAGATCTTCAATGGTGGCTCTGATGCTCGCAAAGCCTCTGCTTCCTTATGTGCTCTTAGTCTATAGTCTTTGGATACTGGATTGGGGTGGATTCCAGCACCAAAGCAATCCCAGACCATCACATTACCTCCAACATGCTTAACAGATGGCGTCAGGCATCCATCTTTTCATTGTTCTGCATCTCACAGACGTTCTTCTTTGTGATCCAAACACCTCAAACTTGGATTCATCCGTACACAACACTTTTTTCCAGTCTTCCTCTGTCCAATGTCTGTGTTCTTTTGCCCATCTTAATCTTTTTCTTTTATTGGCCAGTCTCAGATATGGCTTTTTCTTTGCCACACTACCCTGAAGCCCAGAATCCCAGAACATGCCAGTTGGGGACCTGTGAGCTAAACTGTTTTCAGATGTGTGAACATGATTGTACAAGGGTTTTCTAATCAATTAGCCTTCTGAGCCAATGAGCAAACACATTGTACCATTAGAACACTAGTGATAGTTGCTGGAAATGGGCCTCTATACACCTATGTAGATATTGCACCAAAAACCAGACATTTGCAGCTAGAATAGTCATTTACCACATTAGCAATGGATAGAGTGTATTTCTTTAAAGTTAAGACTAGTTTAAAGTTATCTTCATTGAAAAGTACAGAGCTTTACCTTCAAAAATAAGGACATTTCAATGTGACCCCAAACTTTTGAACACTAGTGTGTATGTATATATATATATATATATATATATATATATATAACTGCTTTTATTGTCATTCCACTGTCACAAATACTGAGCAACACAATTCACTCTCTGCATTTAACCCCAGTGGGCTGCCATTGTGCAGCACCCAGGGTGGGGTTAAGGGTCTCGCTCAGAGACCCAGAGTGGCAGTCTGTGGGAGTGGGACTCAAACTCAGAACCTCTGATTTCCAAGCTCTATGCCCTAACCACTAGGCTACCCCTCCCCTCCTTCTTCCTAGAGTTCAATGCCTGGAGCTGCAACACTTCCAGGTGTCAGTGCTGCCAAGTAGCAACGCCAACATCAAGGCACACCTTGTTTTTTTTTACAGTATACATCACAATATCCCGTCCAATTTCTTTGACTCCAGTTGTAACGGTGAAGCTTTAATATGTCTCCAGCTGCTGTTTTTATCTTTAATAACCCGCCTCTCTTTCTGGCTGACTTCCTGCAGGAGGATCCTTTCGTCATGGTGGCAGAGAACATCCTCGGGCAGCCCAAGAGATATAAAGGATTCTCAATTGACGTGCTGGATGCCCTCGCTAAGATCCTGGGCTTTAAATATGAGATCTATCAGGTCAGCTCAAGCAGCACACCAGGCTGCTTCCTGCTTTAATCAACTCTTTCATAAGAAGAACTATTAGCTTTTCACATATTTGAAAAATATGCAAATGATGTAATGGAGGAGAGAAAAAACTCTGAAACTTTTTTAAAGACTGTTAAAAATGAAAAGAACACTTTGACAAAAAACAGGGGATCTTATGTTGAGGAAAACCATAAATTTATTCAAAGTTTGGTCAAACCTGCTAAAATGTTAATGCAGCAATTTCAAATAGTTGTTAGTGGGGCACCGCTCCCCTGCATCAAGAACATTGCGGGCTCATCAGATCCTCCCCGACCCCACCAACACCAACCATGGACTGTTTTCCCCCCCGGCGTCCGGCAGAAGGTTCTGCAGAACTACCAGGCTACTGAACAGTTTCTTCCCCTGGCCATCAGACTGCTTAATGCCACATAACCCTGTATATAGCTAGCTCCTACTCATAGAAAACATATTGATTGTGTAGGAATAAGGTCTCAGCTCTGTTACACTGGTAGCCAAGTAATCAACATTTCATTGTGAAGATTCACCCTGTGTTTTCTGTGCAATCACAATAAAGGAAGTCTAAGGTTTGTTTGACAGCTGCAGTGTTGGAGCATGCTAGCCATCAGTCCCAGAGCTGTGCTAACTGTCCACCATGAGCCCATGAAGACGGTTAGACTGTGTCACCTAGAATGGCCTCCACAAACACACATTGACCGAGGGGTTACCATGGTGACACAGACTGTACTTAGATGCAGAACTATCAGGAAAAGCATGTGGGATATCCGCCTGCAAAGTCAAACCAGTTTAGGGTTGAAGTCATCATTGCTCCTGTTTTCTTTAGTTGTTTGAGCCGTTTACTTCGTTTTACTGAGGAGCTGCAGAAAATATAAGAACAAAGATCTTCACAATTTTAGTGAAACATGAGAACTGATGTTAAATTATGCTAAATAATTTAAAAGGAGGCAGGGGAGTCTAAAAGCAATAGTTTGAGTCTTGAAGATTACAGTGTTGTTGCCCTGAGTTGTTGTAGTCAGAAAGAGTGACAAACCGCAACCATGTGCCATTATGTTTGTGACTGTAGACGTCCACACGGCCACAAAGGTTTCTAAATATAATTGAACTATTAATGCAGGTTTGACCAATGTTTACAGGAAGTGAGCAAAATGAAAGACATGCTTTGTTCCTCCTCAGGTTGCAGACAGCAAATACGGCTCTCAGCTTCCCAATGGCTCCTGGAACGGGATGATCGGAGATCTCATCAACAAGGTGAAGCTAGACCACATTCAGGGTCTCCATTTTAAACCACTGCATGAAGGACAACCAGGCATAGCTTCCCAGGTCTTTATTTAACTGTGCTGCAGCCAAAGGCCTGAAGCAGCTGCTGGAACTAGAGGAAAAATAAATTAATTTATTCAGAATCAAAGCCGGTTATTTATTAACCTGTGAATTATATAAATAAAGAACGTGGGGAATGTGGAGCTGTGTTGTAGCAATGAGATGTTCAGCACTGGTGTCTCTGCATATAAAAGCATAAAGCAGTTTGTCCAGATTAGACCATCCTTTTATTTTCTTTGCCACCTCTCCTCCTGCAGAGAGCCGACCTGGCGGTGTCAGCCATCACCATCACACCAGAGAGGGAAAACGTGGTCGACTTCAGCAAGCGTTACCTTGACTACAGCGTTGGCATCCTTCTGCGAAAGCCTGAGGAGAAGATCAACATCTTCTCCCTGTTCGCCCCCTTCGACCTGGCAGTATGGGCCTGCATTGCTGCTGCCATCCCAGTAGTGGGAGTCCTCATCTTCCTGCTCAACAGGCTGCAGGCTCTGCGCTCCTCTTCCTCCCAGAATGCACCACCAGGCCATCTTACTAATGAAGTGGGGTCCGGCACGCTGCACAGCGCCATCTGGATCGTTTATGGAGCGTTCGTTCAGCAAGGTAAGCAGGAAGACGCCTCTAAAGGAACTGAGCCGGTCTGAACCAGTCTGCTACTGGGACTCCACCAGTTCCACCATTTAGCACCCAATTAACGCTCGTCCAGATTCACAAACCTCCCACGCTCGTCCAGATCCTAAACCTCTCACGCTCGTCCAGATCCTAAACCTCTCACGCTCGTCCAGATCCTAAACCTCTCACGCTCGTCCAGATCCTAAACCTCTCACGCTCGTCCAGATTCAGAAACCTCTCACGCTCGTCCAGATCCTGAAACCTCTCACGCTCGTCCAGATTCAGAAACTTCCCACGCTCGTCCAGATCCTGAAACCTCCCACGCTCGTCCAGATCCTGAACCTCTCACGCTCGTCCAGATCCTGAACCTCTCACGCTCGTCCAGATCCTGAACCTCTCACGCTCGTCCAGATCCCGAAACCTCATGCTCGTCCAGATCCCGAAACCTCTCACGCTCGTCCAGATCCCGAAACCTCTCACGCTCGTCCAGATCCCGAAACCTCCCACGCTCGTCCGGATTCAGAAACCTCTCACGCTCGTCCAGATCCCGAAACCTCTCACGCTCGTCCAGATCCCGAAACCTCTCACGCTCGTCCAGATCCTGAAACCTCTCACGCTCGTCCAGATTCAGAAACCTCCCACGCTCGTTCAGATCCTAAACCTCTCACGCTCGTCCAGATCCCGAAACCTCTCACGCTCGTCCAGATTCAGAAACCTCCCACGCTCGTCCAGATCATGAAACCTCTCACGCTCGTCCAGATCCTAAACCTCTCACGCTCGTCCAGATCCTGAAACCTCACGCTCGTCCAGATCCCGAAACCTCTCACGCTCGTCCAGATCTTGAAACCTCTCACGCTCGTCCAGATTCAGAAACCTCCCACGCTCGTCCAGATCTTGAAACCTCTCACGCTCGTCCAGATTCAGAAACCTCCCACGCTCGTCCAGATCCTGAAACCTCCCACGCTCGTCCAGATTCAGAAACCTCCCACGCTCGTCCAGATCCTGAAACCTCCCACGCTCGTTCAGATCCTGAAACCTCCCACGCTCGTTCAGATCCTGAAACCTCCCACGCTCGTTCAGATCCTGAAACCTCCCACGCTCGTTCAGATCCTGAAACCTGTCACACTCGTTCAGATCCTGAAACCTCCCACGCTCGTCCAGATCCTGAAACCTCCCACGCTCGTTCAGATCCTGAAACCTCCCACGCTCGTCCAGATTCAGAAACTTCCCACGCTCGTCCAGATCCTGAAACCTCCCACGCTCGTTCAGATCCTGAAACCTCCCACGCTCGTCCAGATTCAGAAACTTCCCACGCTCGTCCAGATCCTGAAACCTCCCACGCTCGTCCAGATCCTGAACCTCTCACGCTCGTCCAGATCCTGAACCTCTCACGCTCGTCCAGATCCCGAAACCTCACGCTCGTCCAGATCCCGAAACCTCTCACGCTCGTCCAGATCCCGAAACCTCTCACGCTCGTCCAGATCCCGAAACCTCCCACGCTCGTCCAGATTCAGAAACCTCTCACGCTCGTCCAGATCCCGAAACCTCTCACGCTCGTCCAGATCCCGAAACCTCTCACGCTCGTCCAGATCCTGAAACCTCTCACGCTCGTCCAGATTCAGAAACCTCCCACGCTCGTCCAGATCCTAAACCTCTCACGCTCGTCCAGATCCCGAAACCTCTCATGCTCGTCCAGATCCTGAAACCTCTCACGCTCGTCCAGATTCAGAAACCTCCCACGCTCGTCCAGATCCTGAAACCTCTCACGCTCGTCCAGATCCTAAACCTCTCACGCTCGTCCAGATCCTGAAACCTCACGCTCGTCCAGATCCCGAAACCTCTCACGCTCGTCCAGATCTTGAAACCTCTCACGCTCGTCCAGATTCCGAAACCTCCCACGCTCGTCCAGATCCTGAAACCTCCCACGCTCGTCCAGATTCAGAAACCTCCCACGCTCGTCCAGATCCTGAAACCTCCCACGCTCGTTCAGATCCTGAAACCTCCCACGCTCGTTCAGATCCTGAAACCTCCCACGCTCGTTCAGATCCTGAAACCTCCCACGCTCGTTCAGATCCTGAAACCTGTCACACTCGTTCAGATCCTGAAACCTCCCACGCTCGTCCAGATCCTGAAACCTCCCACGCTCGTTCAGATCCTGAAACCTCCCACGCTCGTTTAGATCCTGAAACCTCCCACGCTCGTTCAGATCCTGAAACCTCCCACGCTCGTTCAGATCCTGAAACCTCTCACGCTCGTTCAGATCCTGAAACCTCCCACGCTCGTCCAGATCCTGAAACCTCCCACGCTCGTCCAGATCCTGAAACCTCTCACGCTCGTCCATATCCTGAAACCTCCCACACTCATCCAGATCCTGAAACCTCTCACGCTCATCCAGATCCTGAAACCTCTCACGCTCATCCAGATCCTGAAACCTCTCACGCTCATCCAGATCCTGACAATTTTTTTTTGCAGGAGGTGACAGCGTGGTTGGCTCGGTGGCTCTGAGGATCGTCATGGGCAGCTGGTGGCTCTTCACGCTCATCGTGTGTTCATCGTATACGGCCAACTTGGCAGCATACCTCACGGTTTCACGCATGGACCATGCCATACGGTAAATTTAAAATCTAGATTAAACCTGAGTGATCTTCTAGAACCACATTTTGTCTTCATCGTTTCAAGGGTCTGCTGTTCACACATCAGTGCTCATTATAGGCAGATGGAGGTTCTGGATGCAGAGCCATCATCCCTGTCATATTCTGCCGCTTGTAAAAGTATCACTTATAAAATCAGTGGAAAAAGGTGAGCAGTTCTAGTTGGTGTGAAGATCTCTTCTTCGTGTTAGATTTTTGTATTATGACACAAAACAGAAGGACCCAAAGAATATCCAGATACAGACTAGAATGACCAAAAACAAAACTTCAGGGTGGAACAGACGCTGCTCCTGACAGCTCCTGACACAGAAGTAGCCTGAAACCGCAGATCCAGATCTGAAACCGCAGATCCAGATCTGAAACCACAGATCCAGAATCTCTGCATGCCTGAACTCGAGCCGAGAAAAACATTGTTCGAATACCACTGTCTGTCTGCAGATGGGTCCTTATTGTGGTAAGAATAATCTGACATTACACAGGACAGAAGGACACAGTATTCAAGGTGAGAAAGACAGCGGAATAATTCAAAAGTGTTTATTAAAAACAAGGGCTGGTTTAGAATGGGCCACCACCCATTACTGGGAACTCTATTTTATCAGTTCAGTCCATCTCCATAGAACGAGGTAGGATCTAGCCAGCGGGCTGCCAAGGAGATGTGGCAGGTGCCGCCCAGTGTGACCAAGATGCTACAGTCCCAAAGGACAAGCAGGAGTCCAAGCCAGGTCAGGGATCCAGATCAGAACAGGTGGGCTAAGAGGTCCAGGAGTCCGGAGTCCGGAGCCCGTCAGGAATACCGATGAGAACAGGAACAGGCAGGTTCAAGGTTCCTTGAGTCCACAGATAGTTCGGGCAGAACATTCAGATGGGAACAGGCAAGCTCAGTAGTTTAAGAGGCAGAAGAGGTCAGAATATCAGGAACACTACGGAATGTAACAACCAAGACAGGTACAGGGCACGCCCAGTGGATAGAAGGCAGATTAGAGCAGGAATCAGAAACGCAATGGAACGCTAAAAACCGTCTCTTCACTGGCCCCCAATGAGCGCAACGGTTAGAGAGCTGCATCAATAATCTAGCCCCGATGTCTAGGACAGAGATGTATAAATAGAAGCAGCAGCAGGTAGATTACATGAGCAGTAATGAACAACCGAGCAGAGTTAGATGGGAAACAGGAGTGAGCAATTAGGCCAGGCATCAGTGCCAAGATCATGACATTGTGTTGTTTCAGGTTATTTTGCTCTTGAACTAAGCCGATAGATGGGTAACTAAATAAGCTTTGGAGAGTTTGCTACTGAATTGTTGCTCTAAGGATGAATGCTTTAAACCTCCTACTGCAGGTTGAAGTTTTGCTCAGTCACATCCGTGCAGGAGCAACCCGGGCCATGAACAACATTACTTAGACAACTTTTATCATTATTTTATACCATTAGAGAATAGTAAAAGGTTGTCAAAAGTTTAGGAAAAATAAAATAAAATGAATACAATGAAAAGTTTTCACTTTTACAAGAAAATATTTTGTTTTAACTGCTTCTGGTTTCCAGGTTCCTTTATTTTGATATTGGTTGTTTATTTTTATTTTCCCCTCTGAATAAAATCACATCTTCAATCAAAGGACATGTCATTGTTCCCAACAGTTGATTGGCTGCTGTGTGGACTCAGATGCATCCTGAAAGCTAGCCTGGCCTGAAGTAGGTTAGCAGTTCAGAGTATGTTACCATGGTTACTAGCCTAGCTAAGAATGGATCCAGCTTTGTGGATCCGCTCACACTGAGCCTGGTTCTGCTGGAGGTTTCTTCCTGTTCAAAGGGAGTTTTTCCTCTCCACTGTCGCTACAAGCATGCTTAGTGTGAGGGATTGCTGAAGAGTCAATGAGTCGATGCAATCAGCTGGTTTTCCTTAGATAGAAAACTTTGAATCAATCTGACTGGATGATCTGGTTTATCTGGATCTATAAAGTGACCTGAGATGACATGATGTGAATTGGAGCTGTAGAAATAAACTAAATAGAATTGAATTTAATTGGTACCATAAAGTCTTAGACTTAGACTTACACAGAGTGTATACAAAATGAAATTTAGTTTTGTACAGCTTTCATGACATTTCCATTTCTTAATCTCAGTCCACTTTAAGTTTGATTCCAAGTTGGACCGGCTGGTGGCCAATAGCAGAAGCCAACACTGCTTGGGTTTGAGGCAGAGATGGCAAAAGTACTCACTTTCCATACTTGAGTAAAAGTACAGATACTTGTGTTAAAAAATACTCTGGTAAAAGTGGAAGTACTGATTAAACTTCTTTACTCAAATAAAAGTAACAAAGTACAGGCTTGTAAATTTACTTAAAGTATAAAAGTAAAAGTAGAAACCACTTTTTTCATGCCGTTGCCTACATTTTAAATGGATGTCTGCCAATAGGACTAGATCTCCGTTGTGTTCATTTTCAATCATCTCGTCGTCCATGCTACTATGCTAACGCCACCGCCACCAAGCTGCAATGATTTGCCGCCAATGAATACCGCCGAATATGTCGATTCATCTTGTAGTGGTGCGTCAAATGCAACGTAGATTCCCATCCAATTAGATTGAATTTGGTATTGATGACGTGAAAAATAATAACAGTAACTTCATTGAAATGATTCAAAACTAAAGTAACGAGACAATTTTTTAAAATGTAAGGAGTAGAAAGTACAGATATTTGTGTAAAAATGTAAGGAGAAGAAGTAAAAAGTCGCCATAAAATTAAGTAGTAAAGTAAAAATATCAGAAAAATCTACTTGAGTACAGTAACGAAGTATTTGTACTTCGTTACTTCCCATCTCTGGTTTGAGGCCACATGATCAGACGCTCTCCCTAAGGATGCTTTCATCAGGCTCTCTGTGGCCTTCCTGTTCTTTGGTCAGCCTTTGTTGGACCTCGCTAAAGCCTGACCCAGGCAATGTCTTCGTCCTCGTCCCACCTGGGAAGGTTGCGGTTTTCATGGTTTCTCTCTTTCTGGATCCTGGTTCGCACAATAGTTTCCTGGAAGCCTAGAGGAACAGAAATGCTTTTATTGGCCAAAAGATGTTGGTGTTTTTCAGGATTCTTGTGTCGGTTGAGATATTTTAGTCTACTCTGTTATGTCAGACATATAAACAACCTAACTCATTTCAAAATGGCGGCGCCTGGACGCAGCGGCCTGATACGGCTCTCGACCATTCTATAAGATATGCCGTTCAGAACGTTACAAACCAGGCATTGATTCTGCATCTACAACCGCCGATTCCTGCTGGAGCTGCAGTCACAGAATGCTTTAAATACAGCCACCCTTGATTGGTTAAAAAGCTGTGGAGTGCTACAGACAGATGTTAACAAAACAGAGGGCTCACTGAGCAGGCCAGGCTGGAGGATGTGCCATACAGCGCAAGAGGGGAAGTGATTACTGCGAACGTGATGCTGGGACGACTCACCATCCGTCTTTAGACACAGTTTCTTTTTCTATTCTCATTTATTTATTTGTTGTTTTTTTTAAGTTGACAGCATTATCTTTTTTGACCCTAGCAGTTGTTTCTGAAATGGCAGCATTTGTCCGTGCAGTTTTTTTCTGTGTTTTCAGTTAGGGTTAGGATTATTTTGATGCTAACTATAGTAAAGACATATTTTTATAATCCTATAATATTAGTTTGTTATGTTAATATTTAAAATAATTTAGTTTTCGTTGGTATTAAATTAAACATGACCTTTAGTTAATGTTTACAGTCAGGGTTAAAAGTTAAAATTTGTTCTTGTTTTTCTCTAAATATCTATTTTATAATCAGCCAGTTGTTACAGCCCTGATAACTGATGCGATGCATTTTAAAACACTTCGTCTGGTTTAAATCTAGAATCTTAAAAAATTCTAAGATCTTTAAAAAAAGAGCACATTACTTTAGCTTGGGTTATAAAATGTATGTGAAATATTTTCAATACTTTCATAATCTGAACAAGTTTGGCCTCAGAAGGATCAGACTCCAGTGGTGGGAATTTTGTCAGTGTGCCGCTCAGTGGTGCATTAAATCCAGCATTTTGCTTTCCCCTTATCGCCTTTTTCACCCTGATAAAGCTGCAGAGGTGGAGCATCACGATCTCATTTTCTTCTGAGCATCATGACTCTCCAGCCTAATTCACAGTTCAGCCTGAGACACATTTTCCCTCACAGCTTTGCTCAACCCGAGGTCAGAGTGACTAAAGGCTGCTCGGCATTCATCAATGAACTACACGGCACGTTCAGAGCAGCGATTAGCTGATCTAAAGTCAGGTCTGTGCTTCTGCTGCAGGTCCTCTGCTGCCCAGGTGGTCAGGAGTAAAGAAACCCTCTGGTTGCCATTTAAAGAGAAACTGGGAAGCATCAGAAACTCTTTTGAAATGTTAGATCATACAACATTTCAAGGTTGTTTTTTTTCTTTAAGCGCTGCGCATGCTGCAGCCTGTTAAGTCGGCTCCACATTCTCCTTTCCTACCTTTTTTCTACCTTATAATGTTTTTCTAATAGTGAATTCTGTATCTGATATTCTAAATTTGCACAGAGGAAGCCAACTTCTGGAACTATAGTGTTAAGCTTTCTCATACTTTTGGCACTTTTTGATGCTGCAGTGGAAGAGCCCTTTTCCCGTGACTCCAAACGCCCTAGTATCTACAGACAGGACCGGATCCTCGGACTACGAGACTCTATGCGCAAACTCATCTGCACTGACAGGATTTTAGTGGAAAAAAGAGGAGGGGGGGGCTGGCGATGCATGAAGGAACAGATATCCTCCCTAGATGTGCAGCTACTCATGGTGAGAGCTGCATGTGAGCAGATCCACGGTGCAGTGACCAGGCTGCAGACACAGAACCCCCGCTCTCTCCTGCTCATAGCTCAGATCCTCCCTCCATTCCACCCTCCCCACACTCTGTACATCTCATGTAAAACAAAGGATAACAAAACCCTAGACCTCTTTTATGCAAACACCTCCACCCCCCCTCCCCCACTAGGAAGCTCGGATTGTACCCTTGCCTACCTGCTCACTCACTACACACCAGTGGTGAGAAGGACAATAGTGCAGAAGAAGTCAGTGAAAGTTTGGTCAGATGACTGAGAAACTGAAGGATTGTTTCACAAACATGGAGTGGAGCATGTTCCAATGCTTTCATGGTGATGACATCATCAGCCTGAGTGAATGTATCACTGACTAAGCGACCACCCCTGGGTGACTCCTGAGCTGAAAGTCCTCCTGAACCAGAAAAAAAGGGCTTTCAACTCCGGAGACATCTAATTAGAATATGAAGTCCAAACAAAACTTCCATTGACTGGTTGGAGTTTTGAAGTTTGTTTTGAGAGTGAAGTTTATCCTTCCTTCTAATATTTCTGTAAAGTCTAATATAGAAAAAAAGTTGAAGTCAACTCTTTCTTTGAATTTCAATAAAGTTAATAATGTAGGGCAATAATTCTATTATAAGGAGCCATAAAACATGGAAACACCATCTTCTAATCTGTAGGGAGGAACCACAGTTGATTCCTCTTGTCTTCTTCTGTCCTTTCTCTTTCATTTTGTGTCTTTGTAATTATTTTCTGTATTTCTTGAGTTACTCTCTTTTGCCCCCTTGTGTTGGTTTTCTTTCCTCTTGGCTCCCTTCTAGATAGTTCTATTCACACCTGCTCCATATCAGCTCATTAGCCCATCCTTTGTTCTGTTCCCCATTTATACACCACCTCTGCAGTTCCTCATTGCTGGTTTCTTGTTGCTTTGTTTCTTTCTCCTCTCTTTGCTCCCCACATGTTTCCCTGGTGTTTATTTGATTTTTTTGGTTTCCAGTATTTTGTATTTTCCTGGATTTTTGCCTGTGGGATCTTATAAAATCTGCAAACTAATCTCTGCCTCCTCATCCCTGTATTTGTGTCTTCTAAAACCTCCATACAAACCTTGACACCTCTTTCTGCTCCTTCAGCTGTGAATCCAAAGGTGAGGATGACACATTTCTCCTAGTGGACCAAAGTGGTTACTACTCCATTTAGACACTCCAAAGTTATTGGCATTGAATTATTTTTTACCATAAACATCCCAGCATAACTTCAGTGCTTTTCATTCAGTCTGATGTTTTTCAGCACAAAGCAACAGAATGAGCTGAGCCTTGGAGGGAAGTCAGAGAAGACTTGAATAGATTGTGTTTGTAGGAGTGAAGGACGGACCAATGAAATGCTCTGCAATGCTCTGAGACCAGAGAGAGAGACGGATTCAGAACTCAGATTGTTTCTTCAGAGAGAGAAGAAAACCTTTCTGAAGCTTGAATGCTTGGGTACATTTGTGACAGAATCCAGGTGCTCAGGTGCATCATTTATCTGCAGCATGTATAAAGAAAGTTATCACTCATTTTCCATCCGCTGCCTGTGCCGTGATGCACAGCTCCATCCTCTTCTCCTCCGAGGATCAAATCCAAGCAGACATTTTCATCAGCAAATGTTCGGTGAAGGACAAGCACAGCAGCCAGCACTGGGATGTAGAGATGTGAACGGCGCCGGATGATTCCAGCCGCCTCCTCTGACTGACAACTGTGGGAGCAATAGAAACACACATGGAGAATAAGATGCAGACCTGGATGGATCATCTGGTGGCTTCATTTAACCAAACATAAAGCAAGATGTTTCCTGTTCCTCAGAAGTAACTCCCTTTTAAAGACCTCTGTCTCAAACATCACTTTCCTGTTTTAGGCCCGTTGGGGTTCATCTGAGTTTGATAAATGTCAGAAGTTCAGGAAGAGGAGATTTCTACATGTTTTAGATGTTTTTAGTCGGGAGTTTGACCTGGGCCAAAGATTCTTGGGGTGCCCGGGGAGCAGTGTGGGGTTCAGGGACTTTCTCGGGGACCCAGAGCGGCAGTCTGTGAGACTGGGGCTTGAACTCAGAACCTCAAGATTACAAGCTCTATGCCCTAACCACAGTTCAATTCAGTTTATTTAATAGCGCCAATTCACAACAAATGTCATCTCAAGGCACTTTACAGTTCACCAGATCATCGACTCATTGACTGGAAGGCAATCCCTCACACTAAGCATGCTTGTGGCGACAGTGGAGAAGAAAAACTCCCTTTGAACAGGAAGAAACCTCCAGCAGAACCAGGCTCAGTGTGAGCGGCCATCTGCTGAGGCCCACTGGGATTCAAGGAGACAGAAGCAGACATAGAAAAAGAAGCATAGATACAAAAGGCAACTGTCAACCAGCTCCACAGGCGGCCCCGTCCAGGAAACACACAGCCAGGCAGACGAGCTCCGAGCCAGCTCCCATGTCAGAGGATGAAGAGAGCACATCCAGTTAGTCACAGTCAGAGAAACAGGACTACACTGGAAAACAGGCCAAGCTCCAACATCTAGAAACAAAGGTGTTGATGGCAGCAGCACAGCTGATATTTCTCTCCAGGATGGAGTCACAGCCAAACAGGAACAGACCAGATGAAGCTACTATGAGAAAAAGCAGAGAGAGCAGAACGTTAGAGATTGAACTAACAGATTCTGCAGAGTGGGAGAATAGAGATAGAATGAAGCAGAATGATGAAAAAGGGGTCCCTATGTCCTCCAGCAGTCTAAGCCTATAGCAGCAGAACTATAGAAATAGATCAGGATAACCTGAGCCACTCTAACTAGAAGCTTTATCAAAAAGGAAAGTTTTAAGCCTAGCCTTAAAAGTAGACAGGGTGTCTGCCTCACGGACTAAAACTGGTAGTTGGTTCCACAGGAGAGGAGCCTGAGAACTAAAAGATCTGCCTCCCATTCTACTTTTAGAAATTCTAGGAACCACTAGTAAACCTGCAGATTGAGAGCGAAGTGCTCTGTTAGGAACATAAGGAACAATCAGATCTCTGATATCAGATGGAGCTTGGCCATTTAAGGCTTTATATGTGAGAAGGAGGATTTTAAATTCTATTCTGGATTTAACAGGAAGCCAATGAAGAGAAGCCAGGATAGGAGAGATATGATCTCTCTTTTTCATTTTCATCAGAACTCTGGCTGCAGCATTTTGGATCAGCTGAAGGCTTCTAACTACAGTTTGTGGACTTCCTGATAGTAAAGAATTACAATAGTCCAGCCTTGAAGTAACAAATGCATGGACTAGTTTCTCAGCATCACCCCTGGACAGGAGATTGCTCATTTTTGCAATATTCCTCAGATGAAAGAAGGAAATTCTAGAAACCTCTTTGATCTGGGATTTAAATGACAGGTCCTGATCAAAAATAACACCAAGATTTTTTACTTTATTGTCTGAAGTCAGTTTAATCCCCTCCAAATGAAGTCACAAGGCCGCCACATCCCGTTAACACCTTCAGAGCCTTTCTATGGAAATGAGTCTGGAGCTTTCTGCTGCATGCCAGCAGTTCCTTTGCCTTCTTTAATGATACTAGTGGGACGCTTTCAGTCACCGTGTTCAAGCTTTGACCACATCCAGTCCCTCCAGCAGAAAAGCACCTTCACGCCGTAATGCTGCCACATTTAATTAGCTTTGACTCGTCCCAGTCCATAATGACAGCAATTCAACTGGTAAACATTTGGTCTCATCAACACTGATAGCCTTTCACTGGTGATAAGTTCTGATGGATTCCAGCTGATGAAATATCCATTTTTATGTCTGTCCCACTATCTGCTTTGAGGGGAGAAAACATGCAGCAAAGATCCACGGATCTGGGACCAAAAGCAGGACGGCTTCCTGCCCACCAACATGCCTCAGCTTTTACTTTCTCACAGTTTGGACCTGAAATAAGACTTTATTCACATAACTAAATTCTTTTTTCTACCTTTAGCCTTCAAATAAACAAAGGAAACACAAAACTGCCTGAAAAACATAATTTCCTGTCTTTTACAGACTTTGGTCACATTGCTTTCAACATGTCTTACTGTTATTAGTTTACATTTCAAACTTAGGTTTTGTTTATTATTTATTTCCCCAAATGGTTTGTTTTGTAATTGAGTTTCAGAATTTAAAGTGTAATGTTAAAGATGGGTTTTTATAATAACTGAACTTAAGTGAGGAAAAACTATTTAAAAATAAGTAAAAATTTATTATATCAGGTGTATTTACCCTTAATTTAAGTAGGTAAATGTGATTTTGCCACTGGAGTGAGTATTTTTACTCGTAAATTAAGATAATTAGATAAAATGCACTTAAAATAAGACAATGCAATATTGTTTTCTTATTTTAAGTGTAAATTGTCTTGTTCCTTTAGCAAAATGTCTCTTTTCCCTCTTCAATCCAAGAGCAAAACTTATTTTATGTAACACCTCCCCTCGGGGAGCAGTGGGCCGCCATTGTGCGGCGCCCGGGGAGCAGTGTGGGGTTAAGGGTCCTTTTCAGGGACCCAGAGTGGCAGTCTGTGGGGATCGAACCGGATATTTGCAACTTTCTCAGAGCGCAGATCGCCGCTCTGACCTCTAGGCCAACACTCCCCTTCATGTTTTTTAGAAAGAAACTAAACATTTTAATCAGATGAACAGAGACTAACGTTTAGAGCTACAGGTGGGGATTCACTTCCCTGTGAAAACCCTGAGTCTTTGTCCAGCTGTGGATCCGAATGAATTGTTTTCCTCATAAGATAAACGAGCCTTGGTGTCACAAAGCGGTTACACCCCTGGAAACAGGAAGCTCCTAATAAATAGTTCCCAGATATCCTGAAAGTTTTTATATTAAACTCTAAATTTAAAAAAGCCTTCAGCATAATTTATCTGACAAAAAGTTCCAGCCTTGTGGCAAAATTAAAGAATTCAGTGTTAATTTAGGGGAAAATGTATTTTCACCTAGAAATAAATTCCCATAGATTTCAACCTGCAGTAAAAGATGAACATAAATGATTCCGTTTGTCAACCGGGAAGCTGATATGCTGTAAATGTCCTTACCTGGTTAACTGCTGTCAAAAGAAAAAAAACATGAAATGACTTTATTTTCTCTGCTGCAGGTCCTTCCAGGACTTGGCGAGGCAGATTGAGGTGGACTATGGCACAGTAAGAGACTCTGCTGTCTACGACTACTTCAGGAACAAAGGCACCAACCCTCTGGAGCAGGACAGCACGTACGCAGAGCTGTGGAGAACCATCAGCAAGAATGACGGCTTGGACTACTCTGTGTCCAGCCCCTCCGAAGGCATCCGCAAGGTCTGAGGAAACCCTCTGCTGTAACATTCTCACGCTTTAGAAACAGTTCTTATCTGCAGCACGAAATAAACACGTTCTTTGTCCATGATCCTGGATTTTCTCCTTAGCTTTTGTGTGTGGTTTGTCGGCTGTAACTTATACAAAATGCATTATTTAAAGCACTGAACCATAGAGGCACCAGTGGATCCTGATCAAAGAAATAAAAATGGTTGGTCCATTATTCCACTTTCCTTTTGCAGATTTAGGACAGATTTTCAGGGACGGATTGTCCCGCCTGAGCTTTGGATCTCTGCAGCTTCTCCAGAGATTTGGTGACCCTCTTTAATTGATGGTCACTATCAGGCTGCTTATTAGAGTGTTTGGACTGAGGAGCTGCCGAAGTGCTGGAACTTTCTGGAAACACAACCACTCAGTCATAAAGACAAAAAAACAAATACACTTCCTCTGTTTATCTACTAGCTAATTACCAGTGCAGTGAAACAATGCACCAATTAAACAGACCGCACCCTGAGTGTGTGTGTGTGTGTGTGTGTTAAAGCGGGACTATTATGGATTATTTTGTTCATAGATCTCCCTAAAAGCTGACCACCAATTGTTTCTGAGACTAATGGGCTTTGAAGGCGTCCATTATTCAGCCGTTTGCATGATAAACGTCCCCCTGGATCTGCTGACGTTTCCACCCAAAGGCCTTTCATCTGTTTTACAGACCGCTTGGATCCTCCGCTCCTCTTACTTACTGCCTCTGTCGATTCAGATGCATTTTACATGAGCTGAAGAGGCTTTACAGTTAAAAACGAAGCAACAAATCCTCTGCAAAGACAGCAGCCATGTGAATAGCAGTTCAGGCTAACAATGGACCCAAACGACCCGCTTGTCGGTTTCAATCTGCATGTTTCCAAGCAATACAAGGCCTTGTCTGTATAAAGACTCAAACTCACTGCAGATCCAGACCTTTGAATTGAGAAAGCTTCCTGGAGGGGAAGTGAAATGTCTTCAAACCTTGGAAACCAAGTCTTTTAAGGAATGACTATGACCTGGATGACTGAGAATCTTCAGCAGCATCTTAATTAGACAAAAACATCAGTTCTGACGCGCAACAGGTAGCAAATACCAGGGTGTGATAAACACACACATCTTCAATGATAATTATGCTAACATGGCAGAAATCTGGACCAAATGTTGCAGAAATCTGGACCAAATGTTGCAGAAATGTGGAAATAATATTTCCTTTTCTCATTGTTTTAGCATCATGTTCTCCCATCCGTTTTCCTACAGGCAAAGAAGAGCCCCTACGCCTTCCTGTGGGACATGGCAGTGCTGGAGTATGCAGCGTTGACAGACGATGACTGTGCTGTCACCGTGTCAGGAAACAGCATGAGCAGCAAAGGCTACGGCATCGCCATGCAGCACGGCAGCCCCTACAGAGACCTCTTCTCTCAGAAGTAAGTGAGAACAAGTTATGCTGAGGAGATCACTGATGTAGACTCTTTCAACATACAGGATGAATTGATGAGTGACACTGGACCAGGACACCCCCCGTCAGCTTCAGGTGCACTCTGAATATTAGCAGTTTTAATAGAAACTTGATGCTAGATGAAAGAAAAAATAAATCTTTATCAGCATATCTTATTGAGTTTGTCAGATCCTCTCTAAATTACTGAATCAAAATCATTCATTGGTTGATTCTGAGCATGATGAAATGTTACAGAAGCTAACTCCCCAGTAGCCAGAGGCCCTCTAGTGGCCACAGACTCCCCAGTGGCCACACACCCCCTAGTGGCCACAGACTCCTAAGTGGACAGAGGCCCTCTAGTGGACAGAGGCCCCCTAGTGGCCACAGACTCCCCAGTGGCCAGAGGCCCCCTAGTGGCCACAGACTCCCCAGTGGCCACACACCCCCTAGTGGCCACAGACTCCTAAGTGGACAGAGGCCCCCTAGTGGCCACAGACTCCCCAGTGGCCACACACCCCCTAGTGGCCACAGACTCCCCAGTGGACAGAGGCCCCCTAGTGGCCACAGACTCCCCAGTGGCCAGAGGCCCCCTAGTGGCCACAGACTCCCCAGTGGCCAGAGGCCCCCTAGTGGCCACAGACTCCCCAGTGGACAGAGGCCCCCTAGTGGCCACAGACTCCCCAGTGGCCAGAGGCCCCCTAGTGGCCACAGACTCCCCAGTGGCCAGAGGCCCCCTAGTGGCCACAGACTCCCCAGTGGCCACACACCCCCTAGTGGCCACAGACTCCCCAGTGGACAGAGGCCCCCTAGTGGCCACAGACTCCCCAGTGGCCAGAGGCCCCCTAGTGGCCACAGACTCCCCAGTGGCCAGAGGCCCCCTAGTGGCCACAGACCCCTAGTGGCCACAGACTCCCCAGTGGCCAGAGGCCCCCTAGTGGCCACAGACCCCTAGTGGCCACAGACTCCCCAGTGGCCAGAGGCCCCCTAGTGGCCACAGACCCCTAGTGGCCACAGACTCCCCAGTGGCCAGAGGCCCCCTAGTGGCCACTAGTCTGCTGGAAAAGATCATGCTTGATAACAGCTGAAACGTTTACTAAAGTCAGCAATGCAACATGAATACACATGGGTTTTGTTATTGTGCAGTTTGGGTGGGGTCAGCATGAACTATAGAAACCCGATCAAGTGTTGAGCCAGCAATATTTGGTATGCTGGTTGACACGATGAAGCAACTATCACAGAGAAACATTGCCACAGAGAAAATATCACCAATGTGTAGAGCTGTTGTCCGCTTGGATCACTGAAGAATGTCTAAGAACAGAAGCCTGGATGAGTTAACCCTAACCCTTTGTCATTGAGAGATAATGGACCAGAGAACTAATAGCTCTGCACCTTAGACCAACCTCCTGTGGCCGAAGCTTTCATTCAGTTTCAGCTGAGATTGCGCTCCAATGAAAACTGAACATGAATCTCTAGCTGACATGGAGCGGAGTATGGCTGAAAAAAAAAGATAATGATGAAGGTTGGAGGCTTTCTCCTCCCTCTTATTCACCATGTTGACCTTCAGAGTTCATTAAAAACTCTGCTCTTAGAAGTCCTTGTGAAAATCGTCAGATGTGAGTAAAGTGCCTCACTGAGTGGTCCGTCACACCAAATTCCAGAATGCGTTTTAATGAGGAAGATGAAGTGCTGTCACGCTGACTGATTTTTAAACCTGTGTGTTAAAAGATCAGGAGATAAGAAACACCTGCAGGTCGTTCACTGGCTGGTAAATCAATAACGCCTCTGAGGCTGAAGCCAATTAGGCTCACATGAAAGGAGCTGGCATTAGGCAGCGTCGCTGCGAAGGAAACAGGATTACTCACGGTGTGTGAATGTAAACAGAAGTACATGTGCTAATTACACGGCCGTCTCTGGGAGGCTGATTTGTCTGAGCAAAGGCAGAAAATGTAAGGAAGTTTGTTCATCTTCCTGAGATGAAGTGGAGGGGCTGCAGAGTGAAACATTTCTTCCCATCAAAAACTAATTGATCCCAGGGAGGTCTAAAAAATCTTGCAGATTGATCCTAATCTCCACATTATTACATCATGAATTAACAGTTTTCTTTAGTCAGAAAACTTTCTCATCCATTTGGTATTGATTTTCTTGGTGGGTTCCTTCTTAGCATTAATTTATTTTGGTAATAATTCACTGCCGTCTCACTTTGATAATATGAATGTAGAATCTTCACATTTAAACAGGTTTGAAAGATGATTTCAAAAAGAAAAATGTTGTAACTAATGTCTGGCTTTAGACAGAGAACGTGTTTAGAGAAAATTCAGAAGAAAATTTAAATTCAGCCCATGATTTAGAGAGAACTAAACGGAAAAATACATCTTTGCATTAAAGTTATTATTGTAAAGATAAAACTAGAGGGAAAGTAGTGGATCATCTGCATATGTTGAGATGATCGGTTTTATGAACATGGATCTTCTGACAGCTGCTGTTGGCTCTGAGCCTCGGTTTGTTCAGCTACTTTTATTTTATTTATCTTGTGGCTTTTATTTTATTGTTTTTGAAAGTAGGCAAACAGGAAATATAAGTAGAGAGAGGAGGACATGCGGCAGGCAGGGCTTCAAACCTGCAACAGCCCCATCAAGGATCACAGCGTTTGGCGCATAAGCACTGCAACACCAGCAATATTTGACTAAATAATGCTTTATTTTTAACTATCTGCAAATATACTTTAGTTTACTTTAAAATATTTTAACTCACTTACAGTAATCTATAAACCTTTATTGTCTTTTATTTGTTACCTTGATCCCGCAGTCCGACCGTTTGATGACGTTGAAAATTACACGCTGTAGCTTTAATATATTTTTATAATTTCCTTTTAACATGTATGTTTTATGTTCAAATATTTTTAATGGTTCAAATGTATTTGAAAATAGTGAACTGCATGAAATTAAAGTTAAGGAAGGAGAAATATTTATTCTTAATTAAACAACAGATCGATTAATGAGAAATTGAAGCAACTAATGGTTCCAGTTGTTCAAAGAATGACCCAAACATGGACTAGCAAAGGTTTCCCTCGACACAAAATGAAACAGAACATGAAGCTTAATAGGAACGAACCAGGAAAGGAATGGCTGCCAAGCACTTCAGTATAACTACCAGCAATAAAACAATCCTTCCTTGTCCGCCGCAGTTAAACCTTGTTGTAATGTTTCTAACATGAATCTGGGGATGAATGAATAAAACGTTTCTGCTCAAAAACCCAGTTTTTTCAGCATAAAGGAGGAAAAACCCCAAAGATAGAAACTGAGGACCAATCCGAAAACCAGCAGCACCAACCAGGAAGCTCCTCAGAAGTTTGCAGGACGACCTCTGGAGATGGCTTGCAGGAAAACGTCTGCATTGGTTTTCCTGTTAAAGAACCCAGATGCCAACCAATTTTGAATGGAAGCTATTTTTGCAGGAATTTTACCTGAACCTGTTCTTTGATTTGCTCTGTGTGATGAAAAGCTGCAGGGCTCAGAGTCTGAGCTGCCTTGAAAACTTAGAAAAGTTGGTAGGAAGGGCAGCTATTATTCAGCAGCTCCCAGCTGGAAACATCAATGTTTGCTGCACTGATGCACGAACCCGTTAATCCTTTAACCATGGAGGCTTCATAGAGAGGAGGAAAAACACACAATCAGTAGAGCTGTTGTCTTGGTGTTAATAGAGATGTTAACACAAAGCATTAGCAGCAGCCCCGCTGCGCTTTGATGCTGACGGAATTCTGCTCTCTTTGCTCCTCTTAAAGCCAGAGGCATCTGTCATTGACACCTCCTCCACTCCTGTCTCCTCTCAGACTCTGACTCCTTGTCCTCCTGTGTCATCCTCGGCGGCGAAGCTCACGCTGAGCGATAATCCCATCGTCCCCTTTCAAAGCGACGATTGGGGGACCTGAGGGGACGCTGAGTCAGCGGCGGGAGTTCAAACCTCTGAGAGGCAGACAGACGCTGTTTGCTGCTTCATAGAAACTCTGAGGGTCGGAGCAGCAGAACAACAACAATCAGGTTTTCTTCACACAGCTGATGTGATTGCCTCACGGCGCACATCTCAGCTACAGGAAGATTGTTGCTTTAGAGTAAAATAATTTGAATCTGCAACTGATCACTGAAATCTCTGTGACTCGCTTGGTTGGTCTGATGCAGGAAAAGCTGAGGACATTCAGCTCAGATCCAAACCCAGACTGACCTTCAGCTGATTCCTCCTCTGAGGCTGCAGCTTTCATTAATGCTGGAGATGAGAAACGCTGCAAACAGACCGACTGTGGTCTGAACTGCAGCGAGAGCAACAGAACCTTCAGTCATCAGTTCTTCTCTGTAGCAGACCTCCTCCTCTTCCTCCTCTTCCTTCACCTCCTCCTCTTCCTCCACCTCCTGCCTTCATCCTCCTCTTTAGTTCACCACATGCAGCTGGCTTCTATCCCACCACAAACATCACAGAATCGTTTAGGGATTTTGTAGCAATAGAAAGTAGATTATTATTCCAAATAAATCCACGGTGCTCTAAATCTGAAGGGCTGTTTGTGTTTGCAGCCTCGGCCCCCAGCTGTGTGGAGACCAGTGTTTTATAAAGTACTGAAATCTCGGAGTCAAGTAAAAGTATAAGTACCTCTCCAAAATATGACTTTGGGAAAAGTCCAAATGTCATTTGAGTAAAAGTCTTAAAGTATCTGAAATGGCTTTTACTTAAGTCTAAGAATTACTGTAAAAATAGATGTACTAAAGTAATAAAGTATAAGTAAAAAGTAAATGCAGTTTGAATGACTTTATTTTACATTTTGGTAAACTTTGAAGGTTAACTTCACTTAAAATAATATAAACAACCAAGTGCAGTATAAATGTAGACTGGCTTTATGAAACTGGCGTCTCCTATTTTTTATTATTTTTTTTACTTAGTAACTAAACCAAACATTGAAAATGTATCGGAGTAAAAGTACGCAATTAAGTCTGTAAATGTAGTGAAGTAAAAGTGAAAGTTCTCAAAAAAATTATACTCTTGGAAAATATGAAGTACTCTAAAATATACTTAAGTACAGTAGTGAAGTACTTTTACTTTGTTACTTTATAACACTGGTGTAGAAAAGCAGTTTCAGTGACCAGAGGACATCCAACATGCCGACTGCAGCTCCTATATGGTCTTTCTGGGACGCTGGTCTCATATTGGTCCTGCCTGCAGCCTGTTCCTTCTGGCCGTCTGTTAGTTTGGAGGTTGGGTCACACTTTGTCTACATTATCTTTCCATCTGATGCTGAATGGTTTAACATCACTCTGTGACACATTCCAAGGTTAGAAAACCAGTTTAGATTGAACTGGTGTCCATCCAGGTCCAGTTTGCTGATATTTTTTCTCTTGTCAGTTCCATGTTATTCCTCCTCTTCCTTCTGTCTCTCTGAGTTTCATTCCTGTCCCTCCATGGATGCTGAGCTGCTCCTTTCTTAATGAACTTTCTGCTGTGGGCTGGTTCAGCAGCCTGAGGCGTCTTTCCAGTGCGGCCCTGAAGGAGCTGCAGGGAGAAACGTGTCTGAGTGTAGAATGAGGGCCGGCCTATTGTTCATTCTAACCAACATCCGCTCATGTTCAGACCAGCTCCCATCACTGCTGCCTCCATCACTCTTGGATAAAGCGTTTGGTCCTCTGGTTTAAGGTTAGGGTTACCGCTGACCTTCACTGAGCTGAGCCTAAACGCATGAATTTAGTTCTACTCTGGATAAACTGGAGGAAGCCGTGTGGCGGCAGGAGAAACATTCTACATGTCAGAAAAAACAGGATGTAAAGAAGAGTTGATATAATGCAGGAATTCAGCCGAACGCTGCCGATCTGAGCAGTAATCAATAAAGCGCAGCTCAATAAAAACACAATCATCTCTAAACTGATTCTGGAAAGAAAATTATTTTCTCTAACCAGTTTGGGCCGCATCATAAGAAGAGTAGCTAAATATTTTCCGTCAGACTCGGCTGTGCGCTGAACAGTCAGCCTGTTTCATGGACGTCTATGCAGGCGGCCAGAAGCCCCCGTCTCACTGATAAATCGCTGCCATCCAGAAAAACAGAAAAACTGCAGTTTTCCATCATTTGCTTCTGAATGGAAGAATCCGGAATTCAAGGTCATAAAACATAATTGTTTAATTTTTATAAATAAAACTGGGTTTGACAGCTGCTCACAGGAGGTTCTTGTCTGACACCTAAAGTAAAGGATGTTCTGCATCTGTAGCCTGATCAGAAATGTGTTCACTTTTTTTTTCTAATTGAATGTTTTAATGGAAAACAGCTGATGAGTTGAAACTAGATGCCTTTGAGCCGCTCCATGGATTCCCTGCAGGTTTCTACATCCTTCCTAAATGTCTGTCATTGTGCTGCTGTGGCCTGCAGGATCCTGGAGCTGCAGGAGAGAGGCGACCTGGACATCATGAAGCAGAAGTGGTGGCCTCGTACGGGACGCTGTGACCTCAGCAGCCATGCCAGCGCCCATCCTGACGGCCGCTCCCTCAAGCTGCACAGCTTTGCTGGCATCTTCTGCATCCTGGCCGCCGGCCTCCTGCTGGCCTGCATGGTGGCCGGCCTGGAAGCGTGGTGGAACAGCAACCGCTGTGGGCAGGAGCAGCCCAAAGAGGTGACTGAGCATAGGTCCCGGCGGACGGGCCAGCGGGGGGAAGACACTGCCACACTCTACTTTAAGGATCCAGCCGCAGACACGAGCCCCGACTTAGTGGAGCTCCAGTACACCCAGCTATAGACTGTAGGAGGACAGGGTTAGTGGAGGAAGGCTGGGGGGCCGAGGGAGGCGAGAGTAGCTCTGAGGTCACTGATTGAAATCAAATTTGGTCTCTTATGATTTCAGCCGCTTCATCTGTTTATGTTTTTCTGTCATTTTGCTCCCCTGTCACCTTAAAGGGGGAGGGGGGGGGGGGTCGAAACATTACTCCGACTAATTTGCCCATTAAAAACTCCCCTTCCTCATGTTCCCGCATGTTCCAGGCTGCAAGGTTCAGTCGCCACGGCAACGTCTTATCTGCATTTAAGAGCAGCTTAAAGGTTTGGTTCTGAAAGGAGGAGATCATTAGCAGGAGGAGGAGCGTCTGCTCCGACTGGCGAGGAAAACTTTTAGCGTTACAGACGATTAGAATCTAACAGAAATGAAGACGATTAGAATCTAACAGAAATGAAGACGATTAGAATCTAACAGAAAGGAAGACGATTAGAATCTAACAGAAATGAAAAAATACGTAATAAAATGACTGATTTAAGTAGATCCATTAGACTGATCTAACTAGATCAATTAGACTGATCTAACTAGATTCATTACACTGATCTAATTAGATCCATTAGACTGATCTAACTAGATCCATTAGACTGATCTAACTAGATCCATTAGACTGATTTAACTAGATCCATTAGACTGATTTAACTAGATCTGTTAGACTGATCTTACTAGATCCATTAGACTGATCTAACTAGATCCATTAGACTGATTTAACTAGATCCATTAGACTGATCTAACTAGATCAATTAGACTGATCTAACTAGATCCATTAGACTGATCTAACTAGATTCATTAGACTGATCTAACTAGATCAATTAGACTGATCTAACTAGATCCATTAGACTGATCTAACTAGATTCATTACACTGATCTAATTAGATCCATTAGACTGATCTAACTAGATCCATTAGACTGATCTAACTAGATCCATTAGACTGATTTAACTAGATCCATTAGACTGATTTAACTAGATCTGTTAGACTGATCTTACTAGATCCATTAGACTGATCTAACTAGATCCATTAGACTGATTTAACTAGATCCATTAGACTGATCTAACTAGATCAATTAGACTGATCTAACTAGATCCATTAGACTGATCTAACTAGATTCATTAGACTGATCTAACTAGATCAATTAGACTGATTTAACTAGATCTGTTAGACTGATCTTACTAGATCAATTCGACTGATTTAACTAGATCTGTTAGACTGATCTAACTAGATCCATTAGACTGATTTAACTAGATCCGTTAGACTGATCTAACTAGATTCATTAGACTGATCTAACTAGATCCATTAGACTGATTTAACTAGATCTGTTAGATTGATCTAACTAGATCCATTAGACTGACATAACTAGATTCATTAGACTGATCTAACTAGATCAATTAGACTGATTTAACTAGATCTGTTAGACTGATCTAACTAGATCCATTAGACTGATTTAACTAGATCCGTTAGACTGATCTAACTAGATCAATGAGACTGATTTAACTAGATTCATTAGAACTGATCTAACTAGATCCATTAGACTGATCTAACTAGATCTGTTAGACTGATCTAACTAGATCCATTAGACTGATCTAACTAGATCCATTAGACTGATCTAACTAGATCAATGAGACTGATTTAACTAGATTCATTAGAACTGATCTAACTAGATCCATTAGACTGATCTAACTAGATCTGTTAGACTGATCTATCTAGATCTGTTAGACTGATCTAACTAGATCCATTAGACTGATCTAACTAGATCTGTTAGACTGATCTAACTAGATCAATTAGACTGATCTAACTAGATCTGTTAGACTGATCTAACTAGATCCATTAGACTGATCTACCAAGATCCGTTAGACTGATCTAACTAGATCCATTAGACTGATCTAACTAGATCCATTAGACTGATCTAACTAGATCTGTTAGACTGATCTAACTAGATCAATTAGACTGATTTAACTAGATCTGTTAGACTGATCTAACTAGATTCATTAGACTGATCTAACTAGATCCATTAGACTGATCTAACTAGATCCATTAGACTGATCTAACTAGATCTGTTAGACTGATCTAACTAGATTCATTAGACTGATCTAACTAGATCCGTTAGACTGATCTAACTAGATCAATTAGACTGATCTAACTAGATCCATTAGACTGATCTAACTAGACGAATTAGACTGATCTAACTAGATCCGTTAGACTGATCTAACTAGATCAATTAGACTGATCTAACTAGATCCGTTAGACTGATCTAACTAGATCAATTAGACTGATTTAACTAGATCCATTAGACTGATCTAACTAGATCCATTAGACTGATTTAACTAGATCCATTAGACTGATCTAACTAGATCAATTAGACTGATCTAATTAGATCTGTTAGACTGATCTAACTAGATCCATTAGACTGATCTAACTAGATCAATTAGACTGATCTAATTAGATCTGTTAGACTGATCTAACTAGATCCATTAGACTGATCTAACTAGATCCATTAGAACGGATCTATCTAGATCTGTTAGACTGATCTAACTAGATCTGTTAGACTGATCTAACTAGATCCATTAGACTGATCTAACTAGATCTGTTAGACTGATCTAACTAGATCTGTTAGACTGATCTATCTAGATCTGTTAGAAGACGGGAAGCTCAGCAGACAAACAGACCAAAGCATAAAACCAGAGCAGCTCGGCTGTTTATAGAAAAGTGCTTAAAAGAAACAGGCAGTAAGTTTTGCTCCCAGTAGTTTAGTTTAAAGGCAGAAAGAAGCTCAGCATCAATTCTTCTCATCTTCCTAAAGCAGTTTAATAGCATTCTAAAAAATGCATTTCCTAACTGATCCCAGCCCAGCCCTGGAATATGTAGATCCTGTGATGACAAAGCTGAGATGGTCCTGCAGGGAGAACTAACAGCTTCCTGCGTCTCGTTCAGACCTTTACCTGATCCTCCGTTCACTGGCAGAGTGCAGCTCTCTATAAATCAGGTTTAATTGGATGGAAGGGAGGATGTACCTTACAAAGATATGCGTTGGTGTTATTTAACCGTCTACTTAAACAAAATGATTCAGATCTACAGCTTCATGAGAGCAAAGCACTAATTAAACATGCAACCAGCTTTAGGAAATGGATTTAAATGACAGATAAACTGATAACGATGAACCGAAGATCTGCTGCAGCAGCATCAACATTTTTAACCCGACATTCTGGAATAAAAACGGCTCCATGGAAATAAATCTGCTCACATAACCTTCTGTCTGTCAGACAACCTCAGCTGAAAAGTTCAGGTTCCTTCATGATGTGATTTTATCACGCTGATGATCTTCAGGGGTCTCCTCTGGGTCCCCGACGTTTGGGGCCTTGAATCCAAAATAACAACACAGTCATAAAAATACACACAGATACTTCAAGACATGTTGATTTCTAGATCTAAAATAATAGCAAATAAGCAACAATTAGCATCATTATTGACATTAATTATGTCAATCAAAGCATTCTAAATTAATTTAAGAAAATTTATTTATTAAGTTGTGAGTTTTACAATGTAATATGTCATATTTATTTTCTGAATCATCCATCCATTTATCCCAGCTGGGGTCATGAGGGCTGCTGGTGTCAATCTCCAGCTGTCAGTGGGTGAGAGGCGGGGGTCCACCTTGGACAGAGAGGGGGGGTCCACCTTGGACAGAGTGGAGGGGTCCATCCTGGACAGAGAGGGGGGGTCCACCTTGGACAGAGAGGAGGGGTCCACCTTGGACAGATAGGTAGGGGTCCACCTTGGACAGAGAGGAGGGGTCCACCTTGGACAGATAGGTAGGGGTCCACCTTGGACAGAGAGGTAGGGGTCCATCCTGGACAGAGAGGTAGGGGTCCACCTTGGACAGATAGGTAGGGGTCCACCTTGGACAGAGAGGTAGGGGTCCACCCTGGACAGAGAGGTAGGGGTCCACCCTGGACAGAGAGGTAGGGGTCCACGTTGGACAGAGAGGTAGGGGTCCACCCTGGACAGAGAGGTAGGGGTCCACCTTGGACAGAGAGGTAGGGGTCCACCCTGGACAGAGAGGTAGGGGTCCATCCTGGACAGAGAGGTAGGGGTCCATCCTGGACAGAGAGGTAGGGGTCCATCCTGCACAGAGTGGAGGGGTCCACCTTGGACAGAGTAGAGGGGTCCACCTTGGACAGAGAGGTAGGGGTCCATCCTGGACAGAGTGGAGGGGTCCATCCTGCACAGAGTGGAGGGGTCCACCATGGACAGAGTGGAGGGGTCCACCTTGGACAGAGTGGAGGGGTCCACCATGGACAGAGAGGGGGGGTCCACCCTGGACAGAGAGAGGGGGTCCACCTTGGACAGAGAGGAGGGGTCCATCCTGGACAGAGTGGAGGGGCCAACCTTGGACAGAGTGGAGCGGGTCCACCCTGGACAGAGAGGAGCGGGTCCATCCTGGACAGAGAGGTAGGGGTCCATCCTGGACAGAGAGGTAGGGGTCCATCCTGCACAGAGTGGAGGGGTCCACCTTGGACAGAGTAGAGGGGTCAACCTTGGACAGAGAGGTAGGGGTCCATCCTGGACAGAGTGGAGGGGTCCATCCTGCACAGAGTGGAGGGGTCCACCATGGACAGAGTGGAGGGGTCCATCCTGGACAGAGAGGTAGGGGTCCATCCTGGACAGAGAGGTAGGGGTCCATCCTGCACAGAGTGGAGGGGTCCACCTTGGACAGAGTAGAGGGGTCCACCTTGGACAGAGACGTAGGGGTCCATCCTGGACAGAGTGGAGGGGTCCATCCTGCACAGAGTGGAGGGGTCCACCATGGACAGAGTGGAGGGGTCCACCTTGGACAGAGTGGAGGGGTCCACCATGGACAGAGAGGGGGGGTCCACCCTGGACAGAGAGGGGGGGTCCACCTTGGACAGAGAGGAGGGGTCCATCCTGGACAGAGTGGAGGGGCCAACCTTGGACAGAGTGGAGGGGCCAACCTTGGACAGAGAGGAGGGGTCCATCCTGGACAGAGTGGAGGGGCCAACCTTGGACAGAGAGGGGGGGTCCACCCTGGACAGAGTGGAGGGGCCAACCTTGGACAGAGAGGAGGAGGTTCATCCTGGACAGAGTGGAGGGGCCAACCTTGGACAGAGAGGGGGGGTCCACCTTGGACAGAGAGGAGGGGTCCATCCTGGACAGAGTCGAGGGGCCAACCTTGGACAGAGTGGAGGGGCCAACCTTGGACAGAGAGGGGGGGTCCACCCTGGACAGAGTGGAGGGGCCAACCTTGGACAGAGAGGAGGAGGTTCATCCTGGACAGAGTGGAGGGGCCAACCTTGGACAGAGAGGAGGGGTCCATCCTGGACAGAGTGGAGGGGTCCACCATGGACAGAGAGGGGGGGTCCACCCTGGACAGAGTGGAGGGGTCCACCATGGACAGAGAGGGGGGGTCCACCCTGGACAGAGTGGAGGGGTCCACCATGGACAGAGTGGAGGGGTCCATCCTGGACAGAGTGGAGGGGCCAACCTTGGACAGAGAGGAGGGGTCCATCCTGGACAGAGAGGGGGGGTCCAAATTGGACAGAGAGGGGGGGTCCATCCTGGAGCAGAGATATAAACTGAGGACATTTTTATGGCCAGATATTTTTCCTCTCTGGAAAACCTTTTTGGATGAAAACCAGTTCAGAAAGAATATTCCTTCATTTATTTCACAATGGGAATATTTATGAGCACCAAGCAGAACTGGAGGAAAACCATGAGTGATATGGACGGATGATAAATCATCATGGACTTGCATGGAGAGCCTAAACTGTTGTCAACTGATTGATAATAGAGCAAGGGACACTTTCAGATGATGGATTTATTCCTGAATGGTTACTGAAATCTATTGATTTTTAATAGTTAAAGTAGAAAAATCACCATATTGATAAAGGGGAGTGGCGGCCTAGTGGTTGGGGCATAAAGCTATGAATCTAAAGGTTTTGAGTTTGAGCCCCACTCCCACAGATTGCCACTCTGGGTCCCTGAGCAAGACCCTAAACCCCACAATGTTCCCTGGGCGCCGCACCATGGCAGCCCCTGCTAGTCTATACTAGTCGACAGTAAAGTGACTTGAAGTCACCCATAAATCAGGGCAGGGCTGTTTCAGAGCTCTAGAAGCTTCCCGTCCTGGAAGCAAGAACCAAGACCTCCCATCGCTGAAAGTTTCTCTCCATCTGAGCTGCTGGATAAAGAGCGGTGTGTAACTGCGCCCCCTACAGCCCCAGGATTGGCTGGACTGATGACAGGAATGTCAAAAACCTTTTTTAAACCTACATATGAGCAGCAACTTCACCTTTCATGATCCATGTAAGGAATTCTGTTTTCTAAGCATCATGAAGCAGTAGTATCACCAGAGGTCAGAGGTCATTTAACCAGGCAGTTGGCCGCCTTATTTAGGCAGAACGTAACGCTTCATATGCAGGAGGAGGAGGTGTTTTTAGGGCTGGTCAGCATCTACCAGCCTCCTCCTGTAGAGTGCTCTATGAGTGGTGCTGTCAGGACTAATGCAGGTAGAATAAACTCTGTCTGGATGGTGCCTTGATGTGGATCCATAAACTAAAGTGTGAGCAGACGGTTGTGTGTGGCTCTTTGGGGACCTTGTCTCTTTAATTCCTACCTGTTGCTGTCACTGTGTCGTGCCGTGCTGCAGATTATATGTCAATGTGGACACCCGTCCCTCTCTCCTCTCCCTCTCTCCATCTCTTTATTGACACTTGACTGTCTATGATCTCGTGCAGGTCACTAAGGATTACAGACTGGCAAGGGTTTCTGGTCCATTGACATATAATGACATTACAACTGCTTCATCGGAAGGGAGGAGGGACATTTGGACAGACAGAGAGAGAGGCTGGGATGAAGCAGAAGCAATTGATACAGGTCAGATTAGAAACCGACAAAACAAGCCAAACTGATGCATCATTTGTTTGCCTTTCTGCTCAGATCGGAGCCAAATCACGCCTCCCTTCTGGTGCCAAATCCTTCTGGTGACTTTAAATCAAACAGAATATTTAGATTTTTATCTTGATTAGAAAAATGTATTTCCTAAAGTTCAAACTGAAACTGAATTTTTAAATATTAATGTAGACATAAAAAAGTGTTTTGTTTATTTGATAAGAAGCTAAACTGGATCTGATTGCCTCAGTTGATCATCAGGAACTGATGCGATCGTTTCAGCAGCAGCACAGATCCTTCCTCCATGAAAAATCCTCTGTTTCATTCTTCTGTTTTGTTTGATCATTTTTACATGTTTGGACAATCTTCTGCTGACCTTTCCTGCTAAGATTTAACCCTTTCTTGCATGATAAAGATCAGATTTAATGTTTTATTTTAGCTTTAGGTCAGGATGGAACAGTTCCATTTTTTCTAACTCTAGTCATTTTTTCTAACATCAGATTTCTTTTGAAAAGTCAACAAAAACTCATTTCCATCCCTTCTAAGAGTCCCTGGAAGCACCTGTGCTCCAATCTGGGAAACAGATTGATGTTCCGAGGTCAAAAGTTATCTTCATGTTGATAACTGATCACAACCCTTTGATGACGTCCGACAGGACGTCTAACGGCCTCATAAACTAAACAGGCTTAAAGAGTTGATGATTTTAAAGTTCCTTTTTTTTTAACCAAAAATGTAAACATGACAAAACTGTATGAAAGGATATAAAACGTCAAGCAAATGAGCTGTAGTCTCTGCTGACTGCTTCTTGCCCTGATTCTTAACACAGGCGACCAACTGAGCAAAGCTTTTCATGCATCCATCAGCAGCCCTGAACCAGCCGAGGGAACAGGGAACTCAGTGATCATCACTTTGCAATTAGGAAAACCTCCTGATCTCCATTCATTATTAGTTTGTTTGTTTTTTTACCTTGATTCGTCTAAAGAAGTCTTAAAAAGCAGCTGAGTTTTTCCAGCAGGACTGTAATTCAGCACCACGGCCAGCGCCCAGAGGGACTTCCTCTCCTGGGTGGCGTTGGACGTGTTGGACGTGTTGGACACATTGATCTGAGCATGCAGCTGGTTCCAGCTCCTCTGGTAAAGAGATGAAATATTTTCCCCTTGAATCTAAAGTGAACCAGAAACAATCAGAAAATCTCTTTTCTGGCTTCGAGCTCAGTCTCCTCCACAGTTACAATGTCTACTTTGAGGCCGGCTGGCCTCCCACTGGGAGCGCTCATTAACACGGTTGTTTGTTTTGAAATAAATGGAGGCTCCCGGCACCCCCCCACCCAACCCCCCAGGTTTAATCCTGGCCATTTATCTAAGTTTCTGGCTCCCAACCTGACACTCCTAAAACATATTTTAATGAGGTGCCCGTCATGTTGAGATGCTTTAATTGGCTCAGATAAGCAACAATAGCTGTAAGCAGATCTTCAGGACCTTCTTTCCACACTTTCCTACCTTCAAGTCAGAGCTTTCCAAACGTAGCTGTGAACATCTCTGGATGTGTTGATAGATTTTTAGCGGAGGGGGGGGTGCATGCCTTGCTTATGTATAAAATGTCCAGCCTCTGAAACATGACATGAAGGAACATTTGTGTTTTAATGAGTGCAAATGTGTCACTTGCATTGTGTGATTAACATTGTTTTGTTGAAATGATTCCTATCCTGGGAGCAAAAAGAGCTGCGTTCAGGAACCACATGTGCTTGTTGGAAAGTGGTCGCTTTAAATTCTCCCTGAATGCCAAGCAGCTGTACTGTGACTGCAGACACAGCAAACAAACAGCCATGAAGGGGATGTGGACTTAATATGCTGGCCATGCCTGCCTCCTCTCCCTGTTCGTCCTCTACCTTCCCTTAACCCAGAGTACTGAAGCAGACCTGGGGTTCAACAAGGAAACACTAAAGTGTCTATTAATGCCTAACAAGTATGCATGACTGCAATCAGCAGGAGATGCAGCGTCAGCCAATGTTCTGACGATACTGTTCTGATAGGGAACTGATTCTGCAGCTTTCCTACACAGAACCAATCGGCTCCAAGGACAGTGAGGAAAAGCCCTCAACAGAGGGGAGAAAAGACCTTTAAGAAGCCTAAGAACATGGAACATGTGTGTTTTTCTGACACAGGAAGGTTTCAATGAATCTTTTAAGATTATTTCAGTGAAACTAGAAGCTGTGCAGCCAGACTGCTCTCCAACAAGCAACGCAACATCAGTTTGGCCCCAGGATTTTTTTTCTCCATGCATCTAACATTTAATACTCGGCAGCCAAGTTTGATTTCAAAATAAACACATGATTTGGTTTCTGTGGCCTCAGTTCTTATTGGGCTTCTCCAACCACAGAATGGAGTCAGTCTATCTGTTGGCATCCATCACAATCACTAACGGCCTGATCAGGAATGCATGGAGCCTCAGCAGAGCTGAATCAGTTAGAGCAACTGGCCCATCGCCAATCTCAGCCTCTGTGTCCCTTCTCCCCTCCCTTTCTCCCCCTTGTCTCCCCCTGTCCTCCTCCACCTCCCCACTCCTCTTGTAGGACAAGGAGGTGAATCTGGAACAGGTGCATCGCCGTATGAACAGTCTTTTGGACGAGGACTTGGCCCACAAGCAGATCCCCGGACCCTCTATCGAGATCTCTGCGCTGGACATCGGCAGCGTGCAGCCCAGCCAGGGCTCTCTGGTTCCGGGCCCGGAATACCCGCCATCGGGTCTCACTGTGACCACCTACCTGCCCCGGGAGGGACCCCCACCTCCCCCTCTTCCCCATCCTCACCATGGGGGGACCCTAGGCAGGACGCTGCCCCAATCCCAGGGCCCTGGGTTGCCCCCCCACCACCCTCTCAGCAGCACCAGCCTCAGCGGCACCATGCAGTGCAAACACCGGGCTCCCAACGGGGGGCTCTTCCGGCAGAGCCCTGGCAAGACACCCATGCCAATATCCTACCAGGCAGTCTCCGCAGGACCCATACCCGAAGCCATTGATCCCTCCCACAGTACATCCATATAGAGACAGGATGGGAGGGGGAGGCAGGAGGGGGCGGGGCAGGGAGGGGAGGAGAACTACATCTGGGCCGGCATGTGAGGTGGGCTGGGGGGCTTCAGGAGGGACACAAATGTACAAATTGAAAACATTTTTTTATCCAACTGTGAGCTCAGAAAAGCTGTTTCAAAGAAAATAAACTGGGGGGGGGGGGGGGGGGGGGTGTACATGTTCCTGTACATATCTGTAAATATCCAGATGAGTGAGTTCAAAGTGTATTTTGAATATTCTCAATTTTGAATTTTGAAGTTGAGTTATAAAAAACAAAAAGATAAAAATCTACATGAAACATTCTGACTGTTTGAATGGATTTGTAAATTATTTCAGTTAAAACAACGATCTCATTGTGATTGTTTTCTAAGTGCCGAAATCAAATGATGTCTCTACAACTCATCAGTGTCAACCACTACCCATGATGCACTGCTTTAGTGTTGGACACCTACTGTTATGCGCCTCGGTACCAAACCTGGATCCCCGCCTCAGACGGATTGGACCCAAATTATCTGCTTTTTTCCACGTTTGTAAGATAAACTGATTTGCTTTTGTTCTTTTTTCTTTTGTTATTCTCTGTTTGATTCACTATTTTTGTTTTTCAATGCATAGTTTATGTATTTTTGACCTTACTTTTTAAAAGACGAATGAGAGAAAAAGGCTTTAGGCTGTGATCACACTGAGTTAGCAGAGAAATACGTTTTCTTAGGAAAATTACTTGTTCAAATAGAAAAGATGATTCATTGATCAGGCTTTTCCTGATTGATTACAGATTTTTGGTTGCTGATTCTTTTTAACACATAAAGATAAGAGGAAAACATGTTTTGATAGAAAACGGTCAGAATAGTCCATTAAACTCCAAACACCAATAATTCCAGATTAACGTTTCCAGTTTATAGGGGGAAAAAAACAAATGTTTCTGCTTCTGAATCAGCAAAATCTGATCATCTTCATATTCAATCATGTTAAACTGTGTTTGGATAAAAACAAAGAACTTGAGTTATCATAACTCATAGATCCAAAAATGAAGTTATTATCTTTGTCTACATCTCAGAGTTTTCTGAGTTCAGCAGCCTGACACTAAAGGAACATCTGGATGCCGGCGGCGCTGTTGGATCAGAACCGTTGGACAGACCTGCTTTGAGCAGAACAAATAATTAACCTTATGTTGTTTCCTGTGTTCTTTTCATCATGTTAGACCTTTAATGCTCAATAATAGAGAATCATGAAACCTTAGCTGCTTATCAGGTCGCTGCTGGCTCCAACCAGGGGTTAACAGAGTGATACTAAGCATGACGCACAGCAATGCTTTAGTTTGGTCTTTGGAAAAGTTTGGGGTGCCAATGGGAGACGGACATGATTCCCTGCCATCAATCAGCTGCACCTGAACTAATGATGCATTCAGAGTTTAGAAAAATCCTTTTAATTCATGTTGAATTTAGATCACTGAGTTTCTTGAAGGTTAAGTTATTGTTCACATCAAAATCAGCTTTCTTGAAGTGAAACCGCCGCAATTTAGCTGATTTTGTTTCTTGGTGTCTTAAGAAACTCCCTCATGCTTCTGTTTTCCAGCTGGTATGAACTGGGACCAGTAAGTCAGGGTTAGCCCAGTAAAAAAGTAGATGTATTTCTGATTGAATGAAGCTGGAGAACAAATCTAACCACCTTTCTCAGCAGAGGAGGAGCTCATCTCCATGATTCTGAGGCAGTCAGTGTTTTGCAGCCTAACAAGTCTTTTACCTTCTTTTAAAATTGTTTTATCAGTCTATCAAAATAAGAGCATTTTTTCAATCAGAAGGTTTTTGTCGGTTTTTGAGAAGCAGTGATGCAATCATTCTTATCGAGAAGGAGTAAAGCATCCTGAATGGGATCCATAATGATCATCATCATCATTCAACAGGTAAACAGGGAAAACCTCACAGCGCCTGACGATGGTTTTCCTCCTCAGAAAATCATAACGAGCCTTGAAAGCAAACTGTTCCAGACGAAACGTAAAGTCCCCAGTATGTTTCCTTTTTTTGCTTTCATAAGTGCGATTAATGTGCATTTATGGGCCTAATGAGTTCTGAATTCCTTTTTATTTGCCAGAGTGGGTTGTTTGGGAGCCTGCTGATCGCTCACAGAAGAGTTTTCAGGACATTGAGAGCCAGAAAGCAGCAGGAAGTGGCCCCACTAATGCGGAGAGAAGACATAAAGAGACTTTAACTTGCAGGAATAAATGGCCTTATTTCTGGAGATGGGACATGGAGTCTGACTCTACAGAAAAACAGATTTATACCACATGTCTAAAGGAAACACATTATGTCCTTTTAATACTGGGGATTTTATTTTTACTGCTTTTTTTTCATTTAATGTTTGTCCTCTTCTCCATCTTGATGTGGTTAAAATGTAGATGGATTGCTGTAACAACAGGTTTTGTACTTAAGCTATTATGGTTTATAAGAAACTAACTAAAATCTTTTGGAATCCCATCAAAGCATCTTTTTACTCTTTTTGCTAGGATTTCTGTTTTATCAACAGAAAAGTATTCACGCCTACAAAAAAAAAAACTTTGCATGACTTCAGTCAAAAAGAAAAATTATTTCTAAAATGCTGTGATTTAAACCTGGATTTATCGTAAGAAAAAAAAGTCTGAGCAAATAGAACATTAATAATATCTGAAGTAGTGAAAAGTAACGTTCTTCAAAGCTCCAATAATGGAGCGTTTTATTTTATATTATTATTAGACTTAGCGTCTTGGATGGACTCATAAAAGCAGCTTTTTGATTCCTTCCTGCTGCTGGAGGGTTAACCCTAACCCTGGAAGAGGATGGAGCAGCTTCACAGGTCAGAGCTAACAAATGTCAAAATTAAGACAGAAGAAAAATGGATTCAGCAATTTATTTAGAAATATTTCAGCAAAGACAACAAGGTTGAGTAAAGCTACTGACGACAGCTCTGCTTTTCCAGAACAGATTTATAAAATAGTTCCTTTGCTCTTCTGCAGGAGTTCAAAGACGTCTAAAGAAATGAAAACGGCTCTTAAATGTAGATGAACGCCACCACAGGTGAGATGGAAGACGGAGCAACAGCAGGTTCTGCTGAAGATCCCACATATCTGCCTTCAACCTCCTGGAAAAACATTCAGACTATCATCAGCATCTCTCTGCAGCCTCAGACGGCAGCAACATGCTGCTTTACTCACTTTCTACTGAGACACAGAGAGAAGATCCAGTGATTCTTATTAAAAGACTAGTGCAGGTCTTATTAACCTTTAAATTATTCACAGCAGGTCCATCTTAACTGTAATGCTTTTAAACAAGCCTTATTTGATGTTGTTTTTGGACAGTGCAGCTTTAGCCCAACCTTTATAGCGCTTAGAGTTCAAATATCTGGGCCACACAGAAACACCTAGCTGACCTTTGAGAAACAATGAATTAGAAAAGAATAATTATCACTGATCAACAGCCTGAACAGAAGCACAGCGTTCAACCTTAAAGGAAAATATGTAAAAACTTTCAGCCAAAGGACTGAGCAGCAGGAGAATGACACAAACAGAAGAAAGACCATCATGGAGGAGAAAACCTTTTTCTGGAACAATTATCAAAGGAAGGAGGATCCCAAATGCAGCAGGAAGCTTCAGCCAAAAAGGGAAGAGTTGAGATGCTGCAATGGCTCAGTCAAAGTCCAGACCTAAGCTGGGCTCTGATTGGACCATCGGAGAGGTGCGTCAATGGCAGCAAAGCTCAACAGAAAGAAGAGACACTGAAGGACAAGCGAACCCAATCTTCTGGAGAACAATCTGAAAGAGTAGCTGATGCTGCAGAGTGGCTTTTCAAACCATCCATCCATGGAGAGAAGATAGATTTTACAAACACTGCTCTGTTATTGGTGAAATGATCTGTTGATTATCTGAGGTGGTATTCATCTAAATTTGAAGGTCTGACCGGATGATGGATTGTTGTGCCTGAAAATGAAAATGGAGGTAAAATTAAATACCAAAAGAAAATGCTAGTTTGATCCATGAATCTACATCTTGGAGTTTATAAAACTAAATAAATATAAATGTTTTACACATTTATTTGGATTCATGTGAAGTTTGGAAAACAAAGTGTCTTATAACCTTTTTCCTGGTAGTAGTAGAAACTAAAAGTCGAGTGAATTTAGCAAATCCATCAGCAGTTATTCAAATTGCTGGCTGGCTGGCTGGCTGGCTGGCTGGCTGGCTGGCTGGCTGGATGGATGGATGGATGGAGGGATGGATGGAGGGAGGGAGGGAGGGAGGGAGGGAGGGAAGTAGGGATACTTTTTTTAGACTTAGACAACTTTTATTGTCAAACTTTTATTTAGTACAGCTCACAGACAATAAATGAATATTTCCTTTCCATAAAGTGCAGCAGTGATCAAACGTAAATAGTGTGGGAGAAAAAACGGTCCAACAAATGCATTGATATGGAAGTTTAGAGCAGTAATATATATATGGTGCAAATCTGCAGTATTTTGGTTTAGTGTTATCAGTTTGATGAAGAATCTGACATGATTTAGAGTTTATCCAGCAATTCATCAGTGTGATGGCGGTGGGGAAGAAGCTGCTGCAGAACCTGCTGGTCCTGCATTGAATGCTGAGAAGCCTCTTCCCAGAGGGCAGCAGGGAGAATAGTCCATGGTGGGGGGGTGAGGGGTCATTGATGATGTCACGGGCTCGGGACATGCAGCGCTAGGATGAAATGTCTTTAATGGAGGGAAGAGGAGCCCCCATGATCCTCTCTGCTGTTCTCACCTTCTTCCAGTCTGAGGAGCTGCAGCCTCCACACCACACAGTGAGACAGCTGCTCAGAACGCTCTCTATGGTGCTTCTGGAGAAGGTGGGGAGGATGGGGGTGGGGGGGGGGGAGGCCAGAAAGTCCAAGCGCTTCTGGGCCCTTTGGACCAGTGAGGTGGTGTTTCCAGTCCAGGTGAGGGTGTCTGTGATGAATGTGGTGCTGCTGACCACCTCTACAGCTGAGCTGTTGATGAGCAGTGGAGCGTGGTTAGGCCGCTTCTTCCTGAAGTCCACCATGATCTCCTTGGTCTTCTCCACCTTCAGGATCAGGCTGTTATCTCTGCTCCACCAGCTGCTCCACCTCCTCTCTGTAGTCCAGGTCGTTGTCGTCTCTGATGAGGCCCACCACCGTGGTGTCGTCTGCAAACTTCACCATGTGATCGGTGGGGAACCTGGGGACGCAGGATGGATGGATGATGGATGATGGATGGATGGATGGATGGATGGATGGATGATGGATGGATAGATGGATGGATGGATGGATGGATGGATGGATGATGGA